TGTAAATCAAATTAATTTGTTCTAAAAGTATCACATGGATATGATGATCTAATTTCAGTTTAGAAACAGGGCATCATAAATCACCAAAAAGAGAATATCTTATTTTTCACAATAATGTGCTTATTGTTACATTTAAAAAATAATTGCTATAAGTTAAAGAAATATTAAAGTGGGAGGTAAAGTGTCTAATGTTTTAACAAAGTAACTGGTATATGTTGATGAATATTTTTCATCAAAGTGTACATGTTCAATATTTTGAATAAAATTCTACAGTATAAATTTTGTCTTATTACAATTAAGTCTATACACATAATTACTGAATATATGTGGAGTGCACACTTACAAGATGAGCCAAGTATGGTCTTCTGGTATTGTGATAAAAAATGATTTTTTTAGGCAAGAGAAGAAGTGATTTTAAAGAAAGACTGATCTTGTAGTGAAAGAAATCGCTGCTTTTGAAACTAAAATGAGTAAAATAAATAAGTGAGAAAGTTAACAGTGAATAACAACAAGAAATAAATTGTTTTATTGACGATAAACTGTATTTTATAAGGCAAAAACGAAAATACAAGTTTTCTTTGAAAAACTTAAACCTAATTGATTTTCAATTCAACTTAAACCTATTTGTCAAATTGACAATACAAAAACTAGTTGTATTTCACAAGTGATTTTAGGATCTCTCAGCATTAGAAACAAATCTTTAAAAATCAGAACTATTCTTGGAATCCACATTTTTTGTATATTGTCACTGACCAACTATAAAATTGGATAACAAGTATCTAGGCATATCTGCTCCATGTGACAGTCATAAAATAATCTCACATGCATGGAGTACAGTATCAGTATCCTGTGATACAATAAATAGCATCTTTAGCTGAATTTCTGCTACAGAAATAAAAGTATGGTTATCATATCTGTTGGTATCTGAATTATATTTAAAATTCCATTTTTTAGCCATTAAAAAGTAGCATCTAGAGTGAAACTAGCATATGAGCTTGACTGGATTTGTTATGTTCTAAATTCAAACTGTGAACAATTTTATGATATGAAAAATGTACTACAGAAGTTTCAGATTTATGTTATTATTGTACCACAGAGTTTTAACTGATCTTGCAGTACACAGTACAAGGAATATCAAAGCTCAGAAACTAGTAGCTGCTAATGTTCTTGATGGCCATAAATTGCTAAAGACTGTGAAATTGATTAAAAGTACAAGACACTAACTCTTGAAGGCAATTATTTTTCTAATTATAAATAATGCAACAATGATATACTTCTAGAGGGAATCAGTTATTATAGTCCTTAGATGCTGCTCTTTGCATTAATGATTTTGATGTTTCATTGTCCTGGTCTAAAAGCTGAGAAGTAAAACAGATTAAGGACTTTTGATTTTTAAAAAACATTTGAGAAAAAAAAATGTAGTTAAAAAATTGTTTACAACATTAAAACCACTTTGCTTAGAGGTATTATAAATCATCATACTTGACATGCATTAAGAATTTTCTACTTTACGTAACTTCTGAGTAATGGAATATTTCTGTAACTTGTTCCAATGTTATTTATAATGTATTCGTAAAAAAGTCTTAATAGAGTTACTTTACCTACTAATTTTGTGGTCATATCATATTCCAGAATAGGCAGCTGTTGGCATTTTTTTGTGTATACTTAAATTTCCAGCACTATAATGGCTAATTAACACTGAGTTAGACAACTAACAAGATGTACAGTGGGGATCTTACCCTGGAGGCATTTTGCTCTGATTCATCTAAAAGGTCACAGGACTGAATCATAGGAACATTTTTAAAGATTCTTGATATGTTGACAAAAAATTAGAAGCTATTTAAATACAGTCTATTTTATTGTGACTTATCCATAAAAAGAAGTACATATTCATTAAATATTTACTACAATTCTAAACATGAGAAACCATATTACAATAGCAAAACTCATGTCATACAGGCTTTGAAATGTTGAAAGTCATAAATATGTGTTAATCCTTTTTCTTATGTAAAGGATGCATACTGTAATTGCTTAAAGTTTGTATCACTTTGGCCTTGTGTCTACTTTCTGAGGAGAAGTTTAGTTCAAGGGAGATACAGATGCTTGTGCAAATTGGTAAGAGTTAAGTGTTTTTTCCTTGTATATGTTATTTGGAATAGTTAGTGATATATATATAACTTCTGATTGTGGTATTGTGCACTTGAACTCTTTGTTTAATTGAAAAGTGCAGTATATTAGAATTCCTCTTATCTTTCTACTGTGTGAATGTGAAAAATAAGGTTTCATTCTGTGAGGATGTGTAGATAGTTCCACCAG